AWTTGCTGTAATTCTAGGATTATTTTAGACAGTTCATTGATCTTTTTGTCTTTTTCTTCACATCGTGAGGTTATAATTTCAAGATTAAGCTAAAAGGGAAAGAAATATTGGTCTGTTAATGCTCAACTGGTCTCCTCCACAGCCTATTCTTTGGTCGGGCATCCTCAGAAACATTGTAGTTAGCGAGAAATCCCACAACTTGGCTTACTAGATATTTACAGGTATCACCTCAACATTGTCTAAACGAAACTGATAACAATGACCGTTCACTATGAACAGTATCATGTCGCTGTAATGTTTCCAAGACAGCTGCGCTTTATTTTCAAGATAAATGTAGGCMGCATATCATCCGGAGAAATTCTTAGAAAAAGTCGCTTGTTACTTGTTCAAGGTCCACCAACCTTCGTCGCCTCTAGTTCTTCTCTTAACTTTGCCATAGTGGCATCTTTGTCTTCTTCACTAACTGCCTCTCCCTATACAAGAAATAGGCATTAATAATAGTGAAATTAACATTTTATTGGGACCATAGACTGTGCAGAGAAACTAGGTTTGAATCTATCCTACTTTGCAAGCTACTCCAGAGGAAACACAGTTTCATGCAATGGCTTACTGTTCTGATAAGGGAGAATCTACGTAGCACTNAAAACACGAAAACTACGTGCCTGCTGTACAGAATATAGCTCAAAAGCGCAAAATGTTTTTATGGGTTCTTGTTAACCAACCTTAGGTTAGTAGAATTCATTAAAAATTTTAAGCAAACTGTGTTGGACTTGGCAGATAAAAGCTACTTTGTAAAGTATACTTCGCCGTGATTTCAAAAAGCCGAATAATGGGGTTCGCTTCGTATAGTGTATTATTTTTCCCTTATATTTGATATTCAAAATTTTGCTACTATTTAGTGCACAGATACATCTAAAAGAATGGCTAAAAATATTTAGGGCCTGCGTTCTATATTTTGTGAGTTATGCTGTTCTGAAAATGTTCGATTTCCTATCGTGAAAAAATGAAAATTTAGCGAAGACGGTGGACCTGTAAAAATAGGCTGAAAAAAAATTAATTTAACGAATTTTGAAAAACAAAGTCGATTTTCATTACTTAMTATGATAGGGCAATTCATGGTAGAAATTTGAGGGAAAACTATTTCTGAGCCGAAATTCATCGGACCGCTTTTACAGAGACTGCCTCTTAAGCAACCTTTACGCTTACTTAAATTTATTTTTTCATGCTGTGTTATCTTTACGTTATTAGATGTATTGAACATTTATCACTGACTCCATACGTATATGTATCTGATGTTCCAGCTCAGTTTTCTGTTTCTGAATGAGACATGGCTGTCTGACAAGTTTTGTTGTCAAAAGCACAACAATCAAGCGGTTTGATTGCTAAATAACTATTTTTGAGATATTAAGATATTTTGMAATTGAATTCCGTTATCTTGTTCGTGTTATTGAATAGTTGGAAGAGGGAACTAATCGTTTAGAATTAGGATATAATATTCAATTAGAGTTCAGTAATTTTATCTCTGAAATCGTTTATTCATTCACACTTTATTCAATTTGTCGGCTAGATTATAGAATACCCCCTCACCACAAATGACTATATAAAATGATTGTAACCGCGGTCCGCCTTAGTTTCGAACATGCTTGAAATTTTCGCGGGGTAGTTTACACGCGTACGCGTATACGATTTGAGGTGCGAGAGAACAAAGTGGCGATTGTCGCGCGACAATCGCGCTGCAAAAATTGCAAGTGTAAACGGGCCTTATGAGAGATTGAATTGGCAAATATGTTGTTATGATAAAATACAAAAGCGGTTTTGTGTTTTGTTTTAAAAACAAATTCATTTGATTTCCCAAGAGTAACTGTCGGTCAAGTTCAGGTCTTCGTTAGAAAACGTAATTTATTTCTGTTTAGAATCAAATTGTCAATATGCTTTTTGTTTATTCACTCAGAAATCATAGTTTTGAAAAGTAATACCATTGCATCTTCGGGATTAAGGATTAAATGTCCCCTCAGCCTCGGAGATTTAGAAAAAGTCTTCCACTAAATCTCAAGTTTAATATTCTCCTTCTGACTTTCCAAGCTCTTCATGTCTTCCAAGTCATACAATCTCAAAAGTTATGGTTATCGTTCTTTTATGGAACTCACTCCCATCTTCAATCAAAGACATTTCTTCACTTGATAATTTTAAAACTGCTCTTTTAAAAAACCTTATTTAACAAACTTATGATCTGTAACTCTATTGTAACTTTCTTTATCTTAATTTTTATCTTTTTATTTGCGCTTAGAAGAAGTTTTATAAGCGCTTTATAAGATTGGATTATTAGTGTTTATTATTATAAAAGGGAAGTGCATACGAATAACCGTCGGAACAATTTGCATACGGCAAATTACACCTTTTGCTGTTCATTAACCGCGAAGGGACTTTCAATCAAGCGAAACTGCATTGTCTTTAGCGCGAACGAACGTTCATTAACGCTTAGGGAGTTTCAAGAGCGTGAAGGGAGAATCATTAACATATTTAGCATAGACATGGACAATCATGCATAACTGGGCGCAGATTCATTAACGTTTTCAAACCTTCATTAGCCCATTATGTGCATTCAATAAACTACAACAAACATACAATACCAAAATACGGACATTTAATTTCGTCATAGTTTTTGCAGTCAAATTTCAGCATGAAATATGACTCGTTACAGCTACTACGACTTGTTTAAAGTTGGAATGCAATGCCTCCGCGTCGACATCGAATTTCGAGCGAAGTGAAAGAGCGTCTTGTAAGAGCGTATGAGGACCCGGCCGAGGATTATCTAGCGGTTGCCGCTACATTGGGGGTTAATAGTTCTACCGCAACCATATGCAAACTTATTTACCAAGATGCTTAAATAGAGAGCATATTCAAGGATGAAGATAATTTTTGTATGTAAAATATCACACTTATTAAACACTCTTTAAATCCTAGAAATAAATACTATGACGAAATTAAATGTCCGTATTTTGGTATTGTATGTTTGTTGTAGTTTATTGAATGCACATAATGGGCTAATGAAGGTTTGAAAACGTTAATGAATCTGCGCCCAGTTATGCATGATTGTCCATGTCTATGCTAAATATGTTAATGATTCTCCCTTCACGCTCTTGAAACTCCCTAAGCGTTAATGAACGTTCGTTCGCGCTAAAGACAATGCAGTTTCGCTTGATTGAAAGTCCCTTCGCGGTTAATGAACAGCAAAAGGTGTAATTTGCCGTATGCAAATTGTTCCGACGGTTATTCGTATGCACTTCCCTTTTATAATAATAAACACTAATAATCCAATCTTATAAAGCGCTTATAAAACTTCTTCTAAGCGCAAATAAAAAGATAAAAATTAAGATAAAGAAAGTTACAATAGAGTTACAGATCATAAGTTTGTTAAATAAGGTTTTTTAAAA